ACTGTGGACCTCAAGGTCCACTCAAGAAAAAGAGGGGGAAAGTGACGAAAGACGCTTCATGAGTCTCTCTTGCTGGTAGACGTAGTCCACGGCAATGGCCCATTCAAGCTCCGGCGAGATGCGCAGTAGGTCGTCGCTCATGGTTTCGCCAGCGACGCATGTACACGACGTACACCCGCCCAGGTACTTCAGGTGGTCCGCAATGGAAATGGGGAGGAGACTGTTACTGCACTCAGCGTCCTCGGCCGTGGTCTCCGCGGGGCACGCCGTCCCGGACACGTCACTGCAGTTCGCGTAGCTCGTGGAGCCGTCATTGTCGTACCACACCTCGTGGGGGCCATGCTCGAACCCCGAGTAAGCGGGGGGAAGGTGGGGCACGACATCCCGCTTGTGGGTGACGCGGAACGTCTCGTGGCCGCCGCCGCAGAACAGTGCGAGAAACCAGTTGGCGAACGCGGCGTTGCCCACACGCGGCTCACCAAACGTGTACAGCTCAATCCTCGGCGCCGCACCGGAGGCGTACGGCCGCGACGCAAAGTCTGCGGCTGCGAGGCGGGCCATGGCACCACCGAGACTGTGCCCGGTGATGAGCAACGGCAGCGTCGGGTGCGCCCCCACGAGCCCCTGCAGGTACTCCCACATTGCCTCCTGCAAGGATTCAAATGCACTGCAGAAGCCAACGTGAGCCTTGCAGTCGGTGCAGTTGGGCTTTGCGTACGAGGTGCGGTAGAAGTCAAGGTTGTCTATCCAGTTGGGAATGTTCTGCGAGCCCCGAAAGCTCGCGATGATGCGGCTCGCGCTGACGCCCATGAACGCCTGTGTGCCCTGCGAGGCATTCGAAAATACACGCACCTTTGCGAGCCCCGGGTTCGCGGCGCAGGGGGCGCAGCTCCAGCCGCCGATGGCTGCGGCGTCGCAGTACGACGCCCGTGCAAAGTTCAGCGCCGTCTCCGCCGTCGCCTTCGTGTATGCGGCGCCAACGCCTCGCCCCGCGGAGAGGAGGAGGAGGAGGAGGAGGAGGCCGGCCACGAGAGCCACGGCGCGGGGCCCCATCGCCGCCGCCGCTGCCGCCTGCGGAGTGCCTTGGCAAACAAGAGGGCGGTCTGAGGGGCGAGAAGAGGGCGGAGAAGTTGTAGTAAGGAAGTAGTTCCAGCGCACACACACGCACCAGCCGTTGTTGCAGTTACAAAGCAAGGCATTTGTCAAGTGATGTATGAAAAAGAATAAAGAATAGGGGAAAAAAGAAGTTCGTATCCGTCGTGCCCCCCGCGTCGTGGTCTTTGTGATGCTGCGAATGCGCGCTTCCACGCGGACACGGGCCCAAAGAAATGGGACAAAAAACTCGATTTTATGTGAGGCAAAGCAAAATGTAGCCGCGGGGTCCATTAGGCGTTGGATGCGCCTGTGTGTGTGCGCTTGTGCAGAGGGAGAGAGGCATCAACGGATACTCAAGCAATTTTTTGTTTAGAGCTCCACAGCGTTTCTCACTGGGTTCATCACTGCCAGGAAGAAAACGTTGAGTGGGGCGGCGGAACACTTTCCTGGTTAGAATCAAAGCAAAAAAAAAAAAAGGACGTTCAACGAAGCCTGTGGCAGCAGTATTTGTGGGGCTCGAAGTCACACACACACTCATACACGCACGCACATGTATGAGTCAACGGCGTCAGAGGGGGGGGCAGGCACGTTACGCATCCCTCCAGAAGGAAAGGAGGAAGCTTGGATCCCACCACTTTACATCGCTGCAGTCGATCCCAAGCATCAGGCACAACTGCTCAAGTACACCCTGGCCGTTGTTCGCAGTTGCCGTGGTGTTAGCCGTGCCCTTCCCCCCTTGCTGCCCCTTTTCACCAGGGGTGCCGGCACCGCGCCGCGTCTCCGCCCGCCCGCCCTCGCCAGGCGGCGGGTCAGGCAGCCGAGGACACACGTCGACGCTCCGTGGGCACAGAATTCGTCCGCCCGTGAAGGGCCACGCTGGGGTCAGTGCGGCGCCCTCGGGGCACAAGTGCCAGGCATCGTCGCCAAGGTACCGAACACGCACAACCCCGCCAAGGCACATCACCTCCGCGCAGACGTCACCGATGCGGCCGCGGCGGGCCAACTGGAGGGAGTCGCCCTTCAGACAAAGCGAGTGCGGACCAATACGGCTCCCAGGCATCAAGGCAGAGTTTCCATCAGCACAGTCGGCGTCCTTGAGCGGGACAATGACGGGACATAAGTCCATCAGCAGATCATGATGCCCGCCGATGTTGCTTTGCGTGAAGTAGCGATACTCGTGCGCAAGCGCGTTCTTGTATACCACGAGTAAGCAGGTTCCCAGAGCACGGCGGTCCGAGGTGCAGGCCAGGGTGTGGGACGGGCCGGAGCAGAACATCTCTGGGTGGGCCGTAACCCCGTTCTTCAGACACTTCTCCTGCAGCAGCGAACATCCAGCCTTGTAGCCCCAGCCCATAGGTTCTGCCATGCTGAAGTTCGCACGATAATAGCCCATGTCCGCAAACGCGGCCAGCGTCAACACGGTGTAGAAGCCTGCACCAACCGCCGGATTCATCAGTTCATCCTTCGCGTTGCGACGCTCCCAGTGCGAGTACGCCGTCCCCATCCCACCCTCGTCTTCAAGCTCCACGCCAGGTGCGGTGTTGCAGCCGTAGTGCTCCCGCGCCCTCGCACGCGTCTCGTTGGAGGACACCACAAACGTGCTCGCCTTGCCGCGGAGGCCCAAGTGCCGGGTGATCATCCCCAGCCTCTGCATCAGTTGGCTGTGAAACCCGAGCGCGTGCGCAATCTCGTGCGAGACGACGCGCACGCTGGTCCGCGTGGGGGCGACAAAGCTCGGACTGAGGTTCAAGACACCGGCGGCGGGTCGTCCATCCCGCAGCGTCACACACGTGGAGGCCCACGCGACGGCCCTATCTTGGGTGGGGGCGGCCGCGACGTAGAGAAGCATATCGGCACCGGCAACGCCCGACACGTGGTGTGCAGCGGGAACGGTGAACTCCCTGCAGACCCCCAGCTTGAAGAGGGGCAACGTCAAGGCGCCTCTGACGGGGCGTACAAGCAGCCGCTCAGCATGCAGCAGGACGGCTTTGGGCAGCAGCTCAGTGAGGATGATATTCATCTTCTCTTTCGTGACGACGTCCGGCCACTGGCAGCGAATCAAATCTCCGGTAAAATCCGGCCGCACATCCCCTTGCTGCGTGCAGTACCTCAGTTCGTTTTTTAAGTCCTCCGCGAAGACCTTAATCCGGATGGGCGCCCAGTCGGGTGTGGCCGCGGTGTACGCCTGCCATCCGCCAGCGGTCGTCCTTGGGAGCTCCCGCACCACGGCGGTTTGTAGCTCGGACACCTTCGGGGCGATCTTGTCAAACATGCAGCGGTACTCCGCGAGAACGCAGGGGGCACCGGCGAGCCAAAGGAGAAGAGGAAGCAGCCGCGCGATGGGCATGACGCGGCACATTTATCCGATCTTCTTCTTTACTTCTTCACGTTGTTTGAGTTTGGCTTTACGTGCGTCCTTTTTTGCTGCGTCGCCAATGCGTGCGGAAGGGAGAGACAGGGAGAGGCAGGAAGGGAGGGAAACAGTGAAGGACGAGTAGGAGATGCCAAGGGGCGTACGTGCAGGGGCCGCAGGCAGCGCTGCCCCGGGTGCCGTCATTTCCGAAGGCGGCCGCGGTGTAAAGGGGGTGTCACATATGGGCGTTTAAGCTGCGCCCCACCTCTTCGCGACTCCATGCCCGTATGGGCGCGGTTGACTGCGTGGGTGGCGAGAATGCGAGGAAGCGCTGCCAGGGGGCGAGACCAAATGGAAACCGGAGGGCACACCCTTTTTCCTGCCGCCTCAGCCACTGATGGGCCTCTGCAGCAGAGCCCCGCCCCGCCCGCAACGCCGTGTGCTTCTTCTTCCTTCTAGCGGAAGTTGCCGGCCGCTGAGTGTGTGCTTGTGCGTGGGTGTGTGTTTACACATGTGAGTGGCGTGAGGACGGTCATCACGGCGCCGTGTCCCACGTCTCACACTGACGTTCTTTTCTCTCGTTTCCTTTTTCTTGTTTTAGTTTAGTTTCGTCACGAGAACTCTCCCACACGCTGGACTGTGGGGTCGAGCTGCCTCTGCCCCTTCGCCACGACGCCTCAGCAGAGCTGGTTGCTTGTCTCCGGCGGCAGCTGCACGGTAATGCCATCGAGTGCGTCGGTGAGCTCCACCTGGCACGACAGCCGCGAGGTCGGCGTGACGGACGGCGCCAGGTCGAGCATGTCCATCTCGTCCTCCGACACCCCGTCCAGCTTCTTGAAGTCCTCCTCGCGAAGCACCACGTGGCAGGTGCTGCAGGCGCACGTTCCGTCGCAGGCGGCCTCAATGTCGAGCTTACCAAAGTCGCGTATGGCCTCCATCAGCGTGATGCCCGCGGGGGCGGTGAAGGAGACGACTTTCCCCTCGGCGGAGGTGGCGTGCACCCGCACTTTGCCGGGGACCGCCGCCGCAGTCGTCCCTGCGGCCGTGGCGCAGAAACGCCGCTGGCACCGGCCAAAGCGCCAGGGCAGTCGCTGCTGGCCCATGCGTGCGCAGCAGCCCAGCGTCATCGTTGCTGCAGCAGCGTGGGAGGCGCCAAAGAAGAGGAAGAGGAAGGAGGAGGAGGGCGCCGCGAGTGCGTGGGTGTGAGGCAGCCGCAGGCTGAAGGCGGCCACCGTCGCCAGCGCTGGCAAAAGACGAGGCAGCGTCGAGCGTGGGCGGGGGGGCGGGGCTGATAGCCACGCACCCCCTCGAACGCAGGCACACACACACACACAAAAGGGAGGAGGGAGGAAAATGAAAATAAACGTAGCAAAGTAATAACAACAACAAACTCCCGTATGTTCATCGCCGTTAGTCTCGCAAGAGTGTGCGGCAATTTCATTTTGCAGCGGCGCCACGGAGGAGGGGGCCGAAAAAAAAAAGAAAAAAAAGAAAAACATATATCCGCCCACGTCAAGGAATAAATAGAGACGCACTGCTGTGGCCCCGCGACAGTGTCTTTGGCTCCCTGCAGGCCGCCCGAGTTGCCGCCTCGCCTGTCGTGCGCTCCACGCCGCCTCCCTCCCCGCTCACTGCTGCGCTGCAGCGCCGGTGGACAAAAGCGGGGCACCGCCAGACGCCAACAGCCGCCGCATGCGCTGCGCCCCCGGTTTGCGCGTGCACGAATCCCGAGACGAGGCGAGAGTGTGGGCGGGTGCAGCAAAAGCGTCCCTCCTCTGCATTGAGGGGACACCTCGGTGGTTCTGCCGCCCCCGTCAACACAGGCGGCGACGCTGCGGATGCGCCATTTTTCTCTGCCGCCCGCACATCGTCTATGGCACTGTCAACCAGTAGAAAAACAAAAGGGAGCAGAGGAGTAAAACACGTAAGCCGATCACATGCATAGAAGCACACGCACGCATGTGTGTGCACCGGCGCGTGCGTGGCCCATGACGTTGTCAGACCCAGAGGGACACACATGCATACCTGCGTGCAGGCTGCTACAGCGTAAGGAGGGAAGGAAGGACCGCCCTCCCCTAGTAAAATAGTATAAAAAAAATAGGGGGAGGGATAAGGGTGTGTGGATAAGCGCAGTTGCAGACCACCAGCGCCCGCCACAAATATAGAAACAGTTGTTTCGTACTGTTTCTTTTTCTTTCTTTGTAATTCTCTTTTTTTTTTGCTTCGTTATGGCCTTCTGGCTGACTTCACATGGGGAGTGTGCGTGCGTATGTGCGGGCGGGGCGCCAAACGCTACTTCGGCGCGGCGCAGGCGCGCAAAATGTGCCTCGTCCACTTCTTCTTCCTCGTGTCATTCCCCCCCACCCCACCCCTCCCCGCTGCCGTGGCCGCACTGAACACATGCCACACGTCTCCCTCACTCACTCTCTCTCTCTCTCTCTTCATTCCTTCTTGTATTCCCCCTCCTGCACAGACACGCACACGCTCCCCTTGATCTGCGGCACTTGATTTTTTGTTTTTGTTTTTACGACTCTTCAAATTTCATCCGGCGGGATTTTGGCCGCCCCTCCCCCTCCCTCCCGGACACACATAGACACACACACATATATATTTATATATCTACATCTTTATGTCTGCGGAGAAACAATAGGGGGGCAGAGACCGTAAAAAAGAAGGACGAAAAATAGACACGTGGGTGGACGAAGGCAGAAAAAGTATAGTAACACATGTTTGTGTTTCTGCCTGTGTCTTGGGTGGGGCAGGCGCGTAGATGAGCATCACCGCAAAGCACTGCGTGTCGCCCCATCCCCCCACCCCCCCTTTTTTTGTTTTTTTCTTCGTTTTAGTTTTTTAATTTTCCCATTTTTTCCTTTTTCTTTTTCGTCTTCGTTTCTTCGCCCCACACTTCGTCCCCCTGCCCTCCGCAGCATCCACCTGAGGCCGTGTCGGTTTGCCTCTCCTTTTCCCTCCGCGTTTTCGTTCCAGTTGTTTTTTTTTGTTTACTTTTTGCTTCGTCGCGTTGTCTCGCGCCCGCCCCCCGGGCCGTCAGCTCTGCGGCTTGGCGATCCCCATCGCGGCGAAGCTCGCGTTCACGAGCGCCTCGACGTTGCCCTCCGCGCCGAGCCTCGCCGCGGCGGCCTCGGGTCGCAGGTACTGGGCGCCCGGCTGCTGGTAGACCACCTCCTGCGCCGGTTCGCGGCCGAAGCTGTCGGGGCGGAGCTTCGGCCCCTCCATCGACGCCTCCACCCGCTCGCGGCGGCGGCCGAGCAGCGTGTCGAGCGGCATGCCCACAATCTCGTCGTGCGAGTGCGACCGCTCCACCTCCAGCTGCCGCCGCACGGAGTTCACGTCGGTGCCGGAGAGAAGCGCGTGGCCGCCGGTGCCCTCCAGCGGAATCGCCGCCACGTCGTCCTGCGAGCGTGAGAGTTGGTCCTGCAGCACCTCGCGCCACACCCGCGCCAGGTGCACCTTCGGGATGAGGCAGCTGAAGCTCTCATCAAAGCCGTCGAGGGGGGCAAACTTGAAGTGGCGCGTCTCCTCCTTCTTGTTGAAGTACGCACGCACGCTGGCGGCCCAGTTGGCGTCGACGAACTCCATCACACGGCGGATGCCATTGGACGCAAAGCACGCGTCGCGCAGGACGAACTGCACCATGCTCACCTCCTTTGCCCCGCAGAAGGCCGCGATGGCGACGGGGCCGTACTCCGGCGGCTTGGGGATGAAAAGGATGTCCGGCGAGGGGTCGTCCGTGAGGAGGGCAAAGAAGGGCCGCTTCGCGACGGTGTTGTACTCGAATGTGTTTATGTTCTGCAGATGAATCCAGCGCGGGATGGTTCCATTGTCGCGCATCACCAGCACCATGTCGTGCGTGATGCAGAGATGGGCGTCTGGCAGCGACACCTCCACGTTCCCCTCGTGGTCGCGGCCCACAAGGTCTCCGCGAAGAAAGACGTAAAACACCGACTTCTCCAGCGCCTTGAAGGTGTGCCAGAGGTACATGGGGATGTGTCCAAACGGGACACCGTTGCGTGGGTCGTACGGCGGGAGGCCGCGGTAGGGGCGCACGTCGAGTCTGTCAAAGCCCAACACCATCTGCACGATGTACCACGCCTGCCGGAATTCCTCCTCGCTGCGGCAGCGGATGGTGGCGATGATGTGCTTCTCCTTCGCGGAGGCGCTGCGCGGGGACTGCAGCGTGCGCGCCTGACTCGTCTCGCTGGAGGCAGACTGGGAGTTGACGGACATGGTGGAGGCGGTCGCACGCAGCCCCTGCTCGCGGCGGAGTGCCGTGAACTGGTCCCGCAGCACCTCGTACAGCTGGGACAGCCGGAACGGGTCGCGGTAGGCCCTCTCCAGGGCCTCGCTCGGCGTTTCCGCGTCGGGGAAGGGCGAGAGCAGCAGCGGCCCCTTCGGCGGCTCCTCCTTCCCCAGCGCACGCGTCCTGCCGTGCACCTCCAGCGTGAAGAAGTCCGTCTCCTTCAGGTGGGGGTCATCCAGGTGGAACTCGTGCACGGTGGAGACGACCACGAGCCTGCTGACCTTGAACTTCTTCTTCCAGGGCATCGTGGGTTCGCCCAGCGGGGACCACGGCGCCGCCGCCTCCGGGCATTGCGGGCTCCGGTGGGGGGTGCGGTGCGGGTGCTTCTCACGCTCCGTGTAGTACATGTGGCGCCGCCGCGAGTCGAAGGCGAAGTGGCGCATCGACCATCCCTCGAAGTAGGTGCCCTGCTTCTCCGCCTGGAAGAAGTACATGGCTCGCGGACACGCGAAGGGGCGTTGTCACTCGCGCGCTCGCCCGCAAACGATGGGGGGCGGGGACTCTGCCGGGGTGGTGGTGGTGGTGGCCGCCCGCTGGATGCACTGCCGCTGCCGCGCGAAGGGGGAGATGCGGCCCACTGCTGCGACTACGCCGGCTCTCGCGCTTGCTGCTTCGCACGCACTCAGACGCTCCTGGCGCGTGGGGGTGGGGGGGAGGCGACCACGCGGGGAGAGCAGGAAGACGAAGGGGAAGCGGGAGAAGAAAAAGACAAAGTAACAGCGACATTCAAGCAGCGCCGCTGCAGAGGAGGGGAGGAATGGGCACACGCACACGCACGCACGCACGCACGACGGCGTCCACCGCCGCAGCCCCACCACGCCACACGTACACACACAGAGAGAGAGTGTAGACAGACAGGCAGACACGTTGCAGGCCGCCACGCATACACCCCTCCTTTTCATTCCCTTCCCTTCCTTTCCACCCACCTACCCACCCACCCGAGAGAGCGAAAGAGAGAGAGAGAGACGACTATGGCCTCGCCCTTGCTTCCCTCTCACCTCGGGTGCAATTCTTCGCCTACCTATTCCTTACTATCCCCTACGCACACACACACACACACACACAGCACACGTACACAGAGCATGCATACGTGCCAACCACTCTGCGGCTTCGTTCCACCTCTCTCCCTCTCTTTCTTCCCTAGCTACCCAAGCACACACGCCTAGACAAGAAAAAACAGCCACTTTACTTGAGTGTCGGCCACAACTTCGGATCTACGCACACATCTACGCAGTGGATAATGTCAAAGTACTGGTTGTAGCAGTTGGGCTCCTTCTCTGGCGGGACACTTTTAATGCGCTCAAGGCACTCGTTGTAGGCAACCACCTTGTAGTTGCAGTCGTTTGCAAGGCACTCCTTTTCAAGCTCAAGTTTGATGTCCTGCGGGTCTTCCTCCGACATTTACTCCCGGTCTTACTGCGTGCTTGTGGAACTCACCCTGCTACTTCCTTTAAACATATATATATATATATATTGTATTGTATTGTACAGTATTACACAGGCAAATACAGTAAGGCCCACCCCGCGCAGTGCGAAGTTAACGCAATACATGGACGCAGACGTAGAAATTGCAAAGGCGTGAAGAAGAGAGACCGGTACGTGGGAGGAAACAGGCAGGCACACACACACGCAGTCACAGCGACAGAAGGAGGGAGAAGCAAAAACTCAGACGCACAATGCGGCGGGGCGTACACACACACACAGAGACAGAAGTAAAAAAAAAAAGAAGTTGTTGCCGGCGCGGTGCTCCCCCCGCAAGGGAGCGGCGCCACCCTCACGCACAGGCGTAGAGAAACGACGCAGGCAAGGAGGCGCGCGTGGGAGGCGGCCCCTTCCTACCGCCGCCGCCGTCTCTCTACGCCTCTTCCCTCCCTGTGCAGGCGCCAGCCTCACTCTACTACTGGTACTACGGCTACGACTATCATCACACCGTCATTTGCTGCCGCGGACGATGTTCCTTTTGTTTCCCTTCTCCCTCGCCGTGCGTGCGTGTGTGAGCCCTTCGTCATCGCCGACTTCATCTGGCGGCGTGAGTGGGGAGCGGCGGAGGCGCGTCCGCAGGTTGACCGCCGCATGAAGAACAACATCGACAGTTACAATCACATAGCTGCAAGCAAACAAAAAACAAACAAACGATGGTGTACGACACCCCGCGGGCGGCGCAGTGCCCGCGAGGCTCTACGGATACAGCGCTGCAGGGGAGGAGGAGGAGGAGGCGTGGGTGGGAGACACCGGCGGAGACTGTCCCGTGCTTCCTGCGCCGTCCCCCCGCCCCCTTACGCGCGCCTAGTGCCGGTGGCGCAAGCGCAGATAATTTACATGACCTGACACGTGGGCGAGTAGCGCTCCCTGGCGGCGTCCTCCCTGCGCTCCGCCCGCTGCTGCGCCATTTGACGCCGCTTCTTGTTGGCCTCAGCGTCAACCCGCTTGCGCACCCCCAGCGCCAGCTTCTCCGGCACCCGGAAGAGCCGCAGGCAGATTTCCCCGTCCGTCAAACTCCCACCCGTCAGGGGAAACCACCGCTCGAAACCGTTGAAGGCCCCCTTGAAGCCGTGGGTCGCGGGCTGCGGATCCGGCCTCCAGAGCTCGTCGAACTGCATCAGGTCCAGCTCCACGGAGCCGAAGGTGGCGTACTCGTAGACGAGCACACGGATGCGGTCGAACCTGCGCACGAAGAAGAGTGCCGAGGACGCCGGGCTCCTCTCATCCCACCGTGTCTTGTCGCGGTGAATGAGGTACGGTGTGCGGAACGGGGGCGAGTCGTGCGGTGTTATGGGCCGCTTGCCGGACGGCACGCCCCCGCAGACCCACGCCTCCCCGTGACACTTGAAGCGGTGGGGGAGCGTCGGCCGCAGATTGCGCACCTCCACGAACTGCAGCTGCAGGGCGTAGTACGCCAGTATCGAGCCCGACGCCTTCATATCCTCCCACAGCGACGGGAGAGAGTCGGGAAAGGCGGCGGAGTGCCGGCTCGCAACGTTGTTTTTGGCGCTGAGCGCGTAAATTGGGTGCGTTCCTCTTCGTGACGTACCGCCTCCTCCACCGCCGCCGCCAGCGTTGCAGCGATACTGGGCGATGCAGTAGAGAAAAGGCATCAGCGAGGAGAAGGAATCCACCGTACTAACAGGGGCGTACTCGTGCAGAGGGCTGTACTCAAACAGTGGGACATTTTCCTCTGGCTTGCTCGAGCCATGGCGGTCCACCTGCTTCTGTTGAAACTGCTGTTGGTCGAGGCGGCCACCGGGGTACATGACGTGAAAGGGAACCTCGCCCTTTTTAACCATGGCCCCCAGCACAACCATGCGCACAGGGTGCGTCTTTCCATCGCCCCCCGGGTAGTTGCGGTAGACAGAGCCCTGTGGTCCCTGCGCGCCCTTCTTCTCCCTCTGCCTCCCCCTGCTCCACGCGCGTTCCTCCTCTGCCTCGTAGTGGATGTTCCACCGATCCACCTCGGAGGAGTTGGGCCGCTCCGCCGTGCGGTTCTGCAGCCGCAGATAGAGCTTTGGGACGTCAAAGATGCTCTTCAGGGTCCCCGCGGAGCTGCCAAAGCTCTCCACGTAGGTTGCGCCAAAGAGAATCGTCTGCACCTCGGACGGCATGCGGTAGGTCATCAGGTCGATAAACTCCTCATCCCCGGTCGTTCCAAACCCGTTGAGGCTGTCGCCGGAGTGGCGTGCGACGTGCGGGTAGATGGAGTGCAGCTTCGCCTGCTTCGGGTGAAGGTGGTCCAGGTAGTCGTTGTTCTCGTCCAGCATCACCATGAACGCGTCGAGGTCGTGCTCGCCGTACCAGCCAACACCGAAGCGCACATCCGAGAGGGGCTGCTCCGCGTACTGGAAACTCTCCTTGGAGAGGGGGTAGTCGGGCAGCCGCCGCAGCGCGTCATCGCGGGAGTTGCGCTCGACGTCGAGGACGTCCAGCATGACGGGCAGCACGTCCACAAAGGTGTAGCCAAACGCGCGCACGTTAAGCTCCCGCAGGTCCCACAGCTGCGGCTCCGCGGGGCTGTCGGTGAGCGGCGGAAGACGGCAGAGCATGCAGGCGAGGTTGGCGGTGCCGTCGCCCGTGGAGCGCTTGAGGTCAATCGCCCCCACCCGCTCGTTGGCGGTCTCGTTGACCACCTCCAGCTTCACCCCCGGCAGCGTCGTGAAGTCGGCGCCGGTGTAACTCGTGACGACGAGGAAGACGACGGCAACCTCCGCGGGGATCTTGTGCATCACAAACGTCACGGACTCGTCGCAGAACTCGCGGCGCTTCCGTCGCCGGAGGGCGCGGTGGTCGTCCTCGTCGCCCAGCGCCTCCGCCGCGCCGTGGGGATCCTCGTCGAGGGCATCCTCCACCCCGTCCAGCTCCGTCTCCTCGTAGAGGCGGGAGAAGAGCGCGTCGACGACGCCCATGCGCTTCGCCTCATTCTTCCTGCTGTCCGTGCTGCTGTTGCGCAGCTGGTACGCGCGGCGCTTGGCGGCAAGGGCGAGGCCGGGGAGCTGGTTCTCCTCCTCCCCGCCGATCCTGCTGTCGCCGCCGACGAACATGTAGGGCAGCTGCTGCGGGTCCACGAGCACGCCGGAGCCGCGCAGCGCCTCCTCGTCGGTGCCCGCGGGAAAGGGGTGGTTGAAGAAGACGCAGTCGAGAAACATCCCCTCGCTCGTGAAGCACACGGCGCTGAGGTCGAGGTCGACGGGGTCGGCGCCGATGAAGTCCCACCGCAGCCCCGTCGACACCGCGACGTTGCTCGGGATGCGGAACACCTTCTGCTGCAGGTCTAACGCCATTGCCTTACCGGGCGACCCTCGCACGCCTCCACTCCTCCGCTTCCGCCCCCGCACGCACCGCGGCTCGTTATCCACGGCGAGTCTCCCTCTCGCTCACTCTCTCTCTGTAATGTGCAGGGAGAGAGTGGCACCTGCGGCGCTCTGCACACCTCTAACTGTGCCGCGCTTGGAGCCCCCACCACAGACACGCTGGGGGGAGGAGGAGGAGTAGGTGACTTTTGCTCGCTTCCTTGCTTTCCTTCGAGTGCCCTGCTGCGGCCTGCGACGGGCGGGCGACAGACCGGCAACAGGAGGTAAAAAACAAACACACACACAAAAAAAACAACTAGGGGCGACCGCAAGATGGAGAACACGACGCAGCAGGGAGGCAAAAACAGACAGAAGAAAAACAACGAAAAAACAAACGACAGCGGGGGATCGCCAAGGGCAACAGCGTGCCACACGGCGGTGTGCCTCCCACTCCCAACACGCCAAAGGGCAAGATCGTAAATAAAATAGCAAAAAGAAAAAAAAAGGCAGAGCGAAGAAACCAACCGCATGCGGGCAGTCGCGTGGCGGCCACCGGCGTCTCCCTCATCCCCCCCCCCTCCACTGTCTCTCCCGCACCGCACATCCGCAGACACATATACGTGTATATGTCTGTGCGGGTTCCACCTCGCTTTTCTCCCTCCTTTTCCCGCTGCCTCACGTTGATGTCGTTGCCGCACCTCTGCGTAGATGCACACACACACACACAGGCACCTGCATGCAGCATGCGAAGTGTGTGTGCGTGTGTGTATGGTCTTTTCTCACGGCCTCCGCGCACAACAAATTTTTTTTTCTCTTTTCCTCTTCTATTTTTTTTATCGCTGCGGTGCCGCCAGCGCACAAGTAAGCACCATCACACACGCACACACGCCTGCGTGCAGCATCCCCATCGCCGCGCCCACCAACTGCAAGAATGAGCGGGCCGAGCAGCAGCAGCAGCAGCAGCAGCTGGTGCTCCGTTGAAGGTGGCACAAATGCCACAGAGGCGGGAGGGAGGGAGAAGGAGACGGAGGAACTGCTCGGCTGGTTGCAATGCATCGGCTGGCTCCTTACGACTCTTCTCCTTTTCCAGCACATCCACGTCCAGCTCACTTCCGCTTCTTCGGGCCCATTTGATATTTTCTTTTCTCCTTTCCCTCGATTTTTTTCTTCTTCGTTTCATATTTCCGCTTCTTTTTTTTCAATCCAACACTTTTTTTTTTCCTCTAACGTTGTTGTTCGCACAAGTTTTTGTTTTTAGATGTAGATATGTGTCGGGGGCGGCGCCACGCACACGCAGACGCAGAGGGAGACCCTCTCGTGGTTGCAGACGCGAAAAAAAAAAAACCGACGTAAAAGCGGCATCCTCCCAGTGAGTGTGTGTGCGTCTGCCTGACCAACCGCGCCGTTCTTTTTTTTTTGCCTTTTCCTCACTTCCCTTTTGTTTGCGTGCATGCGCGTGTGGTCCCGTCCCCGGGCTGCGCTCCCCTTACAAGTCCTCCTTGTCGCCGTCGGCGTCCGCCTTCTTCTCCGCTTCTTCGTCTTCCATCGCCGCCGCCTCCGCCTCCACCTCGTTCTCCGCTGCCTCCGCCTCCTTCTGCTCCTCCGCCTCCTTCTGCTTCTCCGCCTCCTTCTGCTTCCCCTCAAAGGCATTGAGCGCCTCCGCCTCCGCCTGCTTCAGGCTGCCGTACGTCTTCTTCACCAGATCCAGCACCTCCGCCACGTCGTCGCCCAGCACGATGTCCTTGAAGATGCTGCCGGACTCCACCTGCCAGAGCTCGATGCCAACGTGTGCGAGCGGCTCCGGGATCTTGTAGAGGCTGTCGTCCGGCTTGTACGCCGGGTTGGGGATCTTCCGCGGCTCCCACGCGCCCTTGTACGCCGGGTTGGGGATCTTCCGCGGCGTCCAGGCACCCTTCGCCTTCGGGTTCGGCACCATCGGCGCCTCCCACTCGCCGTCCTCCGCGTCGTCCCAGTCGTCCGGCTTCTTCGCCGCGGCGTCCGGGATCATAGCGGGCTCGTCGTCCCAGTCCGCCGGCTTCGTGTCCGCCGGGTCGTCGATGGTCGCCGCGTCCACCCAGTCCGCCGGCTTCGTGTCGTCCGGGTCGACGATCTCGCGCGGCGGCAGGAGGTGCCAGTCCGCCTCGAGCTCGCCCTTCGCCCTCAACTCGCCGTCGAGGAAGAACTCGTAGGTGTTGTCGGCGGCGATGTGCAGGGTGTACACGTGGGTCAGCTTGTCGACCGGGAAGCGGACCTCCTTCGACCACTCGTGGTTCTCGCCGTTGCGGTGCAGGATGATCTGCACCTTGCTCTTCGCCCCGCAGCGGTCCGGGCCGAACATCAGCCAGTACTTCGTCTCGCCGTTGAACTTCTCCGCGTCCATCGCGGGGAGCAGCTTGATGTAGCCGCCCCCGCACTTCAGCTCCTGCCCGTGCTTCACCGAGAAGGAGACCACGAGGTCCTTCCCGTCGTTCGTGATGGGCGTCGGCAGGGCCGTCGAAACGGCGTAGAAGCGGGCGTCCTCCGTCAGCCGCAGCCCCTTGCTCTTCTCCGCGTCCGCGTAGAAGTCGCCGGCCGACAGCTCCACCTTGCCGAGGTCGTCGCGGTGCTTGGAGGGGGTCCAGCGCTCAAGGCTGCTGAACTCCTCGTGGAAGTACACCGTGGCCTCTACAGCTGACAGTGCCGCAAGGCCCAGCAGGGCACACACAAGCAGCGCCGCACGCATGTTCTTTACCGTCTCCCTCTCCCTCTCTCACCGTTTTTTTTACTTGTTCTTTTTTCTTTGCCTCGGCTTTATCCGTCGCCCGGGCCGTACGCCTTTGTTTAGTGCTCAATCCCTGGAAACGCGAGAAAGCCAAATAAAAACAGCAAGAAAAAGAAACAAAAAAGAAGGAGGATACATACCGACGCAGTGGAGGCGCCGATGGCAGATATCTTCACCCCTCCGCTGGCTTCTTGCGGCCCACCGGTGGTCGTCGATGCACCGCGCGGCGCCACGGAGGCGGAACACAAAAGCAAGGCAACTGGAAACTGAAAACAACAACAATAAGAAAAAGGGCATAAGGAGAGAAAGGGACAAGCATGGCGTCAAAAGAGGCGCGGCGCCGTCGCACGCGCACCATCTGCAGCCCCGCTCTGTATCTCTGTGTGCCTCGCGCCCCTTCGCGTTCGTCGGCCGCGGATGCGCTCTACCGCCACTGCGGCGGAACAGGAGAGCGCACACGCCCCGCATGGGGGTTTTAGTAGCAGAAACGTTTCAACCAGGACGGCCGTCCAGTGCCAGCATGCGGGCCCAGCTGCTCCTCCGCGGTAACGTGCTGCGCCACCGCCCCCAGCACCGTCGCCGCCGTGGCACTTTCCGCAGAAAACTCGCGGCGCTGTGGCGGGGCTCGTCGTTCCTGCCGCAAGAGCGCCGGCGCCTCCCCGTAGCGCACTGCGTCCGGTGACGGCGACGATATCAAGACGGGCGGCGGGGAGGCCCCTCGCGCCGGCCCCGCTGTGAGAGCGGCGTGGGCAGGGCTGGGCTGGCGTGGCGCGCCGAGCTCCCGAAGGCGCGGCAGCTCCCGTTCCACAAGCGGGCGAAGAAGCTCCTTCACGCGGCCCCGCACGGCACGCCTCACCGCCGTGCGCACGTGTTCACGGAGTTTTTCCTCCCACGATGACAACAACGTGGCCTCCTCCTGCAACAGGCGTTCCGCCACGTCCGCAGTGAGGGGCGCGGTGGGGCAAGGGCGACAGGTGGCCAATGCGCTCAGCGCCGTCTGCAACTCCTCCACGAGACCCTTGGCTTTGTTAACCACGCCGCGCACTTCCTGCTCTGCGGTCAGGCGGAGTTCCGCCACGGTGCGCGCGGTGTCGCTCTTCCACTCCTCCGATGCGCGCTGAAAGGCGTCCTGCATCTCCTGCAGCAGGCGTTCCTTGAATTCGAGCGCCTCCAGGAACTCCGCCGAGTCCGCGGTTGCGCTGACAGTTGAATGTCCTACAAGATCCCATTGCGTCAGTTGCGTCTTCAGCTCCGCCGCCTCCCGCTCTGCCTCGTGCCTCCACTGCGCGTGGGCCGCCCGCATGCGAGCGATTTCAGCCTCGTACATGGCTCGTGTTTCGTCTAGTTCCGTCTGCAGCCGTTGAATCGTGCGGTCTCGCAACGCTAACTTCTCCTGCATCGTCGCCGCGGCGTCCTGCAGCCTCTCCGCTGCCCTTTCCCCCACCGCCGACTCGCTGCGCGGGGCAAACGAGAGCCCCGCGGGCCCCGCAGCAGGAGCAGCAGGAGGAGGAGGAGGATCTGTTCTTGTGCGTCCCTCCGCAGCAGCGCCGGGGATGGCGCGGCAGGCCGCCAGCGACTGCAGCGCCTGCTGAAACGCTCGCTGGGCCTCTAGTGAGTTCCGCAGACGAGTTTCCTCCTCGCGGCTCAGGCGCGTCTGAAACGCCACGAGGGACTCCGCGCCCTCCTCCCGTCGCGAGGGCGTTCCCTCCGCCGCCCTCAGCGTCGGCGGGCGCAGCGCACTGCCGCCCACGTACGGCCGGAGCACCGGGTCGCTGCGGAGGCGCTGCAGCTCCGTGAGAAGGGCCGCCGTACTCCGCACCTCCTCCTCCGCTCGAGGCATTCGGCGCGGGCAGCCGCAGCCGGAGGCGTGAGAGGGACAAGAGACTCACTGCTTGCAGAGGCACGGAAGAAAGCAAAAAAAAAAGAATAAAAATAATACGTCATACAGCAAGACAGCAATGATGTAAAGGAACGCCTGAGTGGGCCCCCCTCCCTGCGTGCGTGGGATGTCCACGCACGGCGCGTGGACACCGCAGACGCGGCAGAAGGGGAGAAGGGCAGCCGCCGGAAAAGGAAAAAAAGGAGCACGAGGAGAAATATACGCCGCTTATCAAATTCTACTCTCCCACAGTTAACAGCACACATACGGACAGGGAAACAAACAAAGAAAGAGTGTCTTTCTGCCGCGCTATTGCAGCTTCTCCTTTCCACTTCTTCTCTCCTATGTCTTTTCGCAGGCATAATCTCCTGCCACCTCCTCTCTTCTCGTTTTAATATCCTTCTCAGCGCCGCGTTCCGCCTCCTTGCTGCTAGTGGTGCTCCTCCTCCTCCTCCTCTTCCGCATCCTCTGCGGGGGAGAAGTCACCGACGGGGGGCGGCAGGGCGTGCGCCCCCGGCGACGTCGGCACGTAGTTTGGCGAGTCCTCCCCCAACTGCGGCCGCGACTGCGGGTCGACGTGTGAGGCGCTGGCGCGCGACGCCGCCACGGAGCGCCGCGCCGTGTACGCCGAGTAGGCGGGCGAGAGTGTCGGCACGTACGACGCCGACTGCTGGGACTCCGAGTCGCCGCTGCACTGGTACGGCTGCGCCGCCACACTCGACATGACGGAGGGCACGTACGCCGGGGAGAGGCCGCCGAGGCGGCCGTTGCCGAGCGCCTGCTGCCCCTCGTAGTGCGGGGAGGAGTGGACGGACGGCATCGCCATGCTTGACTGCAGATGAAAGGAGGACGCCTCGCTGTAGTCCATGCTGCTGGGCAGCGCCGAGGGGACCTGCATGGAGGCCGGGTTGTACATGCTCGCCGACGACATCACGCTGTACGCCTGCGAGGCACTTGGGGCCCGCCCCCGCGGCTCCGCCATGCCCGTCGCGGGGTATGCCTGACTGAAGTGCGCCGCGCTCGCCTCGTGCACCCCACCGTAGAGCGTTGAGGCGGTGAACGGCGCCGCCGAGGAGCCGCCGCCGCCGCCCTCGCGGAAGAACATACTCGCGTCGTTCACAAACGGTGTGGCCTCGTGGTGCTTGGCGCGGTACGGCATCGACGACGGCAGGTTTTGCGTGGAGGCAAGGCCGTGGTAGACGTTGACGTCCTTGCCGGGCGCCACTGCGTCCTCCTGCGGAACCGCCTGCTGCAAGGCCGCCATGTTCAGCACGAGGTCAAAGAGACCGGTGCCAATGCGGGCCTGGTTCCCAAGCACAAGGTTCGCCGACACACCACGCACGGGATCCCGCTCCCCAAACGCGGCGGCGGCCATGAGAACCTTCACGGTTTCCTCAAACGAGCAGCGCATCAGCGGCCCAGACATCTCCGAGCGGTTGATGCCAACGCGGGAGACGGCCATCAAATACCCCCGCTGACAAATCGTGTCCACCAGGATGGTGTAGTGGCGGTAGTTAATGTTCAGCCCGTAGGCAAGGTAGGCCTCCCGCAGCTCGTGCAACATCTTGTAGCGCGCGGCCTCAATGCCGAGCAGGCTGCAGACCTCAGGGACCTTGTTGCTGCTTGTGCGGGTGGCGTTGATGATGTTGTTGCCCTTCTCGTCCACGATGCCAATGAACGTGCGGCGCAGCGCCGTTCCATCCGTGTCAATCAGCCACGTCTTCTCCCCTGTCATCTTCCCTGTGGCGGGGTCCACGGTGAACGTCGTCTTGTCCTTCAAGAGCGCCTTGCGCACGCCGGGGATGCCGCGCAGGTGCACACGCGCCAGCAGCTCCGGGATGGCCTGCTTGAGCCGCGGAATAGAGTCGGCGCCGTCGTTCCTCTTGGGCCGCATGCGTATCGTCCGCTCCTTCGTGTCGTTCGCCATGCCCGTCTCTATCACGTAGCCGTCGTCCACGCGCAGGATCGCCTGCTTGACGTCCTTCATGTTGAGCGCCTTATCGACAAACATGTCGGCGTCGAGCTCGAGCCTCGCAATCCAAGGGGAGCCGTTCTCCACCTCCTGCAGCCGCGCCCGCTCATCGCTCTCGTCCATGACGCTCCACTCCAGCTCCAGGATGGCGCGGTCCGCCGCCACCACCGTCTCCCGTGGGTCGGGGTCGTAGATGAACTGGATGCGCTTCGTGACGCTTTCCAGGGTGCAGTACTCGATGAGGTGCTGCGCCTGCTGCGCGGTGCGCTTCTTGTCCCAGGGCGGGTACAGGGCGACGTTCATGCTCGCGTGCTTCTGGTGCCGCGAGACATTGAGGAGCTCCAGCAGCCGGGGAACGCCAAGCGTGACGTTTTTGGAGGAAATACCTGCATTGTGAAATGTGTTGAGTGTCATCTGCGTCGCCGGCTCCCCGCAGGACTGCGCCGCGATCGCGCCAATGTTCTCACCAGGAGAGACGAGCGACTGCAGGTACTTGGTGCGTATCTCCCTCAGCAGGTACTCAAAGGCCTTGTCGTTGAGTTTGTACTCCCGCAGCACCCGCTTGGAGGCGAGCAGCTGACGCAGGTGGACGCCAAAGAGCGTCAGGGCGTTCTCGATGCGCTGCCGGCTGAGCACGTTGTGGATGCGGCCGTCCACGCCCTTGTGGTAGGAGGGAAAGAGCTTCAGCATGTCGTCCTGCAGCCGCCGCACGTGGTCGATGATGGTCACGGGGCTGAGGTTGGAGACCTGGCTGCGCTTGCCCATGGTGCTCCGCGCGTTCTGGATGAGCCGGCCAACGTTGACGGGCAGGTTCAGCTTCAGCTTCTCCCGCTCCTCCAGGTCCATCATCGTGCGCGCCCAGTCGCGGTCGGCCGTGAGCTGGTCGAACTCGCCCTGCAGCTTCCGCACGTTCTCCGGGTCCGCGCGCAGCATCCGCTTCACGTGCGGGTCCATGTAGGCGCCACCCACCTTCTCGTTAAACGCACCCGTCTCGTCGTACTCATACTTGTACGTGGCCTCCATCTCCTTGTTGTCGCGAAAGGGAAGCGGGAAGAGCTGCCCGCCCTCAATCCGGGCCCCGTCCAGGCCGTCCTCGCCGTACATAAACTGAATGAGCTCCTGGTTGGCGTTGCGCACCGTGCCGTCGTAGGCGGCGTGCACGTCCTCGAGAGCCTTGATGAGCTTGCGCTGCAGGTACCCGGTGTCGGAGGTCTTGACGGCCGTGTCAATCAGCCCCTCGCGCCCCGCCATCGTGTGGAAGAAGAACTCGTGCGGCTTGAGCCCCTCCACGTAGCCGCGGTTTGCCATGCCGCGCGAGGTCTCGCCGTAGTCGTCCAGCATGAAGTGCGGCAGGGTGCGGCGGCGAAAGCCAAACGGGATGCGGCTGCCCGCAACGTTCTGCTGCCCGACGAAGACGGCAATCTGGCAGATGTTGAGGTCCGTCCCTTTGCTGCCCGCCTCAATCATCACCTTGAAGCTGTTGGTGCGGCGCACGTTGCTCAGGGCCTTCTTGGCCGCCTCCTCGCGGCACTTGTTCAGCGCGCTGTTCACGTCTGCCTCGAAGGACTGCAGCAACGTCATGCCGGCCTTGCGGTTGAGTGTGCGGTTGTTGGCCGCCGCCCCGATCTTCTCGACGTTCTCGCGCGTCTTCACCAGCACCTCGTTCATCTGCCGCAGCGTGTCGGCGTCCGCGACGGTGTCCTGCACCCCGACACTGAAGCCGAAGTTGATGAGGAAGAAGGTCGTGATGCGCTGCACCCCGTTGATGAAGCGCGCCACCTCGTCGGAGCCGCGTTCGTTGAAGATGACGTGGATGAGGGAGCCGGGGGCGGCGCCGACGATGCCCTTCGTGATGGGTCCGCAAAGCAGCTGCCCGCGCCGGATCATGATGCTGGCGTCGTTGTGCGGGAACGGCGGCCGGTCCTGCGGCGTCGCCGGGTGGTTCACCTCCGGCAGAATGAGGGAGAAGACCTGTTTGCCCGTCCACAGCGGGCGCGGCTTCAGTATCGCCGGCACCGGCAGCTGCCAGAGGTCCAACCAGAGCGCCACGCTCTGCACAAAGTACTTGTCGAGGAAGGTGTCCTTGTCTGTGAGGCGGTAGCTGCCGAGGAGGCTGTCCTGCACGATGCCCATGCACGGGGCGGACTTGTTGGGGGACACAAAGTTCTTCGGCACCATCATCATCTCAATCAGCTCCGCCTTTGTGAGGAGGCTCTGCGGCACGTGCAGGTTCATCTCGTCCCCGTCAAAGTCCGCGTTGTACGGCGTCGTGCAGGAGAGGTTGAGACGAAAGGTGTTGTAGTTCAACACCCGCACGCGGTGCCCCATCATACTCATGCGGTGCAGCGTCGGCTGCCGGTTGAAGAGCACCACGTCGCCGTTGATGACGTGCCGCTCCACGACGTCGCCAACGTTGAGCGTCACCTTCGACCGGTCCCGCCGCAGGGCGAGTTTGGTGGTGGTGCCGTTCGGGTGGTGGATGTAGTTGGCGGAGGGGTACACCGGCCGGCGCACAAACTCGGTCAGCCGCTTCTTGTTCACGGCGTTCACGCGCTCCGGGAAGGTCAGCGTCATGGCGACGGAGAAGGGCACGCCCACCTCGTCCACGTCGATGTTTGGGTCACCGGTGATGACGGTGCGGGCGGAAAAGTCCACGCGCTTGCCCATCAGGTTCCCGCGCAGGCGGCCGTACTTTCCCTTGAGGCGCTCCGTCAGTGACTTGAGCTTCTTCGTGTCGTTCACCTTCGTCGGCTTGTAGTAGGTGGAGGCGTTGTTGAAGTACGTCGCCACGTGCTCCTGCAGCAGCGCCCGGCTGCGGTCCACCGCCGCCTGCACGTCCGACTCCTTGTCCTTCCGCAGCTGGTTGTTGCGCTTCACGATGGACATGATCTGGTGCGTGAGCTCGTCGTCCGACTTGAGGCTGCCGAAGGCGATGGCGGGCCGCACCTGCGGCGGGGGCACCGGCAGGACGGTCAGCACGAGGTCGCGCGGGTGGCAGCGCAGGGGGTCGAAGCCCATCACCCGCGCGTCCTCGTCGGAGATGCGGTCGAGCACCTGCCGCGCCGTGTCGGCGTGCCACACCATGTCCTGCTCCTCCAGCGTCGCCTTGATGACGAGGCCGGGGTAGATGCCGAGGAAGCGGCCGATGCGGGGCTGCGTGGCACCGCAGCCGCGCGCCGCCGCCGCCTCCGCCGCCTCCGCCGCGGCGTCGGTGGACATGCGACACTTCATGCCGCACATCTTCGCCACCTGCCGCAGTCGATTGACGCCGGCGAGGTGCTGCAGCCGCTTGTGCACCTCCGGGTCGCTGGTGTCCAGGAGGAGGGCGCCGCAGGACTTGCACACGCACTTCAGCACCTGCAGCACGATGTCAAAGAGGCCGATGTTGAAGACGGGCTCGGCGAGATCGATGTAGCCGAAGTGGCCCGGGCACTCCGGGTGCTTCCGGTGGCACGTCTCGCAGGCGAACTCAAAGTCGGTGGTTCCCATGCGCAGGTCGTTGATGCCCCCCCGCACCGGCTGGCCGCGCTCGTAGGACTTGGCCTGCTCCACGAGACACACGGCGTAGTCCTTAATCTGCTTCTCCTTGAACACCTCAAACTGCACCTCCACCACCTTCGCCAGGTCCATCTGCGACGGCGGCAGTGGGGCCCCGCCAGACATCCGCCACGCTCTCGCCACTCACACAGAAAGAGACAAGCTGCTGATGCCACGGAGACAAAAAAAAAGAAGGCAAATACACCGACGCACAGAGAGGAAGAGAGAGAGAGAGAGAGAGAGAGAGCGGACGCATACCCCAGAGAAGGAAGTCGGCAGATTGCCAGGTCAGCGAGCGTACGCGCATTCAGCGCTTATGCGGAGCATGCGCGGCGGGGAAACAGAGAAGCGCAGGGAGAGAAAGAGAGAGCGCAGAAGAGGCGGAAATTGTCAATGGCCCTGCTGCTGGCAGCGGCCGAGGGGGAACTAGACGCATCCGCAAACCAACAAAAAGAGCGCCGTGGAGGAGGAACGCCGCGAGGGTTCACCGCCGCCGCACACCGGCACTTCTTCCACCCCCGTCACCTTCCCTCCCCTTCACCGTCACTGTGCGCTGCAGCCCGCACGTGCCGCCGCCGCCGCCGCAGGGGCACAAGGCCGGCCCCTTCTGTTGCCCCACACGCGGGCCCTGGGCCCCCCCCCATCGCGTGTTGCTGCTGCAGGGGAAATTGCCGCACCCGCAGGCAGCCGGGAGGAAAGCCCCACGCAGACGCTAGGAAAAGGCGCGACGGCACACAGCCGCTATGGCGACGCCCAGCGCCAAAGTTATTGCTGCATACATGTAC